TCTATTTTGTAATTCTCCTGAGGGGATTCTTTGATTTTTTTTCTTTATCAAGGTCTATTATGACATTTCCATGTAACAATTCATAGGCGATGTAGTTAACTTCCTATGTCACAGAATACAGCCTCTGCCATTATAGAATAACATGACAGATTACTTTTAAAAAACTACATTTTGGGGCTGGGGATTTAGCTGAGCGGCACAGTGCCTGCCTGGCAAGCGCAAGGTCATGAGTTCGATTCCCGGTACCAGAAAAACAACAACAAAAAACAACAACAAAAAACTACATTTCATGTAACTGAAGTTCGCTGAATAATTCTTATTGTCTTAATTCAGTTTGGAATAGAGTGCAACAATGTTCTAGAACACAGATTAGCAAATTCTGCCTTCTCCTCCCCTCCCCACCCCCCTTCTCCTCTCCTCTCCTCTCCCTCTTTTTTTTTCCAGTACTGAGGATTGAACCCAAGGCCTTCAGACTGAACTACAACCCCAGCCCTTTTTTATTTTGTATTTTGAGACAGGGTCTCATTAAGTTGCCCAGGCTGCCTTGAACTTGGACTTCTCCTGCCTCAGCCTCCCAGAGTGCTGGGATTGCAAGTGTATGCCACCATGCCTGGCTGGCAGACTTTCTGTATACAGCCAGAGGGTAAATATTTTTAGGCTGTGAAGACCATACAGTCTCTCTCTACTCAATTCTGCTGCTGTAACGTGAAAGCAAAGGTTGACAACGTGAAGGAAGTGTGGCTGGGTCCCAGTAACACTGTACTTACCCACATTGAAATCTACATTTCACATACGGTCATTTTTAGGTGTCACAGAATGCCGCTTTTTTTTTTTTTTTTGGTTGAGGGATTGAACAAGTCCTCATGCATGTCAGGCAACCGCTCAACGGCGAAGCCATGCCCCCCAGCTGCACCCTTCTCTCCCTCCCAACAGTTTATAAATATAAAAACCATACTCAGCAGGTGGGTCCTGCAAAACGGGCAGAGGATGGGCTTTGCCTAGGAAGCGACTCAGCTGACTCCTAATGTAGAATGTGATCCTCCTCAGGTCTCTGTAAGGAAGCTGGCTAAAGGCCCCCCTGTGCACAGCAGAACATTAGCACCGAGATGGCAGGGTGCACGCAGTGTAATCCCCTCTGCTCCTCCTCGCCTGCATTTCATTCATGAGGAGGATCCCGACCACCCCGCGGTGATGGCGTCAATGTACCAGGCTGGAGCCACTTACATCCTGTCTCCCTTCCTCTGCTCAATTCCAAACTAAATTTTAAAACTACCTCCACAGCTACAAAACCCTCTGCCACATCCTCATCAAAATCTTCTCAGCTAATCTTTTTTTTTTTTTTTAACCCTAAAGGTATTTGTTTCTATTTTATTTCTCTGGTACCAGGAATCAAACTCAGGACTGTGCCCTTGCCAGGCAGGTAGGTACTTGTACCACTGAGCTATATCCCCGGCCCAGGTATTTGTTTTTTAAAAGACCTTAAAATTAAGCTTGTGGCTTCATACTTAATTTGTATCATTAAAACCTGTTCCAGCCGGGCGTGGTGGTGCACGCCTGTAATCCCAGCACTCGGGAGGCTGAGGCAGGAGGATCGTTGGGAGTTTGAGGCCAGCCTGAACTGCACAGCAAGACCCTGTCTCAAAAAGATAAAACTTGTTCCATTGCAATTAACAGTAGCAATGGCATTGCAAATTCGAGAAAGATTTGATTATGAGGTGACATGGTGGTATTTGTGGACAAGCTACACATACAAAGAAAATTGGTTAAATCCTGAAATACCACTAAGGTACCCGTGTTCCAAAGAGCCAGTGGGAGAACTCCAACGCCAACTTTATTCCAGAATCTCAAGGACACAGCGAATGGCCAATGCAGTTCTAAGCAGAAGAGGCATCGCGCCTCTAACCCGGTAAACAGTGGAAAATGTGACCAACGTTTATGAATGAGTCATAAGTGTCTAAAATGCAAATATTTATGAAAGGCCCAGGGATAAGGACTTCCTGGAGGAATTTATTACCTACACGTTGTTTTCTCTGGAAGTTCTAAATTCTCAGCAAACATTAATCAAGACGTCCTACTGTCTTTCAGGTTATTCCCCCATTTTACAGATAGTGATTCAGCAGATATCAAATTACTTGTTGCCACTAGCGAATAATTCACTATTTCAGCCCTTTCCTGCCATTTGTTAGATTGAAAGTGAGGGGAGTTTGACGAGATTTAAAGAGCTTCTTCCGTGACTGTGTATTGGCTGCTCTCTGCTGCCCCCTGTTGATGCGACAAGGGAAGAGCAGGTCTCGAGACTGGCCCAAAATCAGGTCCTAGGACCAGGCACAGAGGCATCAGCATCACCCGGGAACTTGTTAGAAATCCAAATTAAGGGCCCTTCCCCACGACACTGAGTGAGAGACTCGGGCGGGGCTCAGAAGTTTGTACTTTCACAAACCTCGAGGTGGTTCTGTTGCAAGTTGAAATGAGTTTTCTGCTTTAGGTAGCGATGCCTTGGCCTCTGAGTCATCACAAAAATGAAGGCTCCCCGGCCTGCTTCTGTTCTCATGTAGGGTACACTACTCGGCCCGGTACAAAGTGCTTCCACCGTCGTTCATTCTTCCTGTCTGTCCCTCTTAGAACTGGGGATCGAAGCCAGGCCCTTTGCAGTGAGCTGCGTCCCCGGCCTTTTAAAATTTTGAGCCAGTGTCTCACTGAGTTGCTAAATTGCCCAGGCTTGGCTCAAATATACAACCTCCCTGCCTCAGCCTCTCAGAATGCTGGGATTACCGATGTGCACCACCATACCTGACTTTACCTCCATTCTTTCTTTCTTTCTTTCTTTTTTTTTTTCTGGGACAGGGTCTCACTGTGTAGTCCAGGTTGGCCTTGAAACTCCTGGTGATCCTCCTGCTGTAGCCTCCCAAGTGCTAGGGTTACAGCTGTGCATCAGCAAGCTCTGCTACTGCCATTTTTTCTTGCAGATGAATTTGTAGCAGCCCTGTGGAGTCAGTTGGGGAGGGACTGCTGACCTATTCTACAGATGAGGAGACCAGGAGAAGAGCTCAAGAAAGGTCCAGTAAGTTGTGAGAGCTACTCAGCTTTAAATGGCAAAGCCAAGTTCAAATACAAGTCTTCTGTTGTTATGTTGATACCCAGGCCTTTTCCAATTACTCCGTAGCAGAGCTTCTGAGATTTGGGACAGATAATCCTTTACTGTGGGGGCTGTCCTGTATATCACAAGACGGTTTGTTCATTTTGCCGTGATGCTGGAGTTAAACCTGGGGCCCAGTGTGTGCCAGGCAAGTGCTCTACCCCTGAGCTACACCTCCAGCCTTAGGCTGTAGGATGGATAGTAGCATCTCTGGCTTCTACCCACTCCGTACCAGTCACCCGCACCCTGGTGGTGACAACCACACACTCCTAAACATTGCCAGATGTTCCCTGGGAGGGGATGTAACCATCTGTAGTCAAGAACAACTGCCCTACAGCCCTTGCATGAATAGGGAGAACTCACACAATTACTGTTCAGCAGATTTTGCCCTCTTTGGAGGTGATTCTGGAATAAAATCTTCTTTTTGGTCTCTAGGCCATCTAGGAAGCAAAGGAATTAGACTAAATGTTGGTCCTTCACTACCCTTTGCAAAAACTTACATTAGTTAATACCATCTGGTATCTGGGCTGTATTCAAATTTCTCTGATTGTCCCAAAAATATCTTTCATAGCTGTATTTTTTTGCCTCTCCAATCTAGGATCCAGCCTAGCTTCTCAGACTGACCATACTAGTTGCTGTCTATTTCATCTCTAGGCAAGCTATACCCCTGTGGAGAAGGACATTCTATAGTTCACCTTTCAGTGTATTACCTCTGTGGGACTTTGAGCCTGACCAAGCCATATGATTGTTTGATTCTGGAGGAAGTCTCGCAAAAAATTAGCGTAGTTAAGTTGTACTGTCCTCGCTAATCCTGTTAATGATTGCTCCCACTTCCCCGGTTGCTGCTTTTGTTTGTATCCCAATAAAAGGCTAAAAAGGATTGTAACCGAGGCTTTAGTCCTACAGGCCGCAGCCCCCTGATCCCATAACTTTGTCTCTCTGGTTTTTCTTCTAATCTGCCACACCTTGTTCTCGGACCTGTCACCCCAGACAAAGACCAGCCATATACCAACATGTCCCGTGGACCAAACCTGGCCCACCTCTTTCTGTACATAGATTTTCTCTGGAATTCAGCCATGCCCTTTCACTTACGTAATGTTGCTGGTTGCATTCGTGCTACAGTGGTGGAACTGAGTAATGTGACAGAAACCATCTGATCCACAAAACCTAGAATAGTTCCTGTCTGACCCTCGACAGAAAAGTTGGCTCACCCATGATTTACCTGCTTGTCCCTGTCTTTATTTTTATTTTTAGTGGTGCTGGGGACTGAACCCAGGGTCTTATAAATGCTAGGCAAGTGCTCTACTCTTGAGCTACACGCCCAGCTCCAATCTCTTCTTTTCCATTGGCCTGATTATATACATTATATACTAAATTTTAATTGAAATTTCCCATACTATATACATATATTTTATTTTTTTGTTTTTTTTATCTTTTTGAGACAGGGTCTCGCTGTGCAGTTCAGGCTGGCCTTGAACTCACTTTGTAGCCCAGGCTGGTCTCAAACTTGCAACAATCCTCCTGCCTCAGCCTCCCAAGCGCTGGGATTACAGGTGCGTGCCACCACGCCAGGCTTTATACATATATTTTAAAGTAGAAAGTATATATGAGTTTTTTTTTCTTTTCTTTTTGGTCTTTTTGGGACAGAGTCTCATTGTGCAGTTCATGCTGGTCTTGAACTTACTTTGTAGCCCAGGCTGGCTTTGAACTTGCAATGATCCTCCTGCCTCAGCCTCCTGACTGCTGGGATTTATGAGATTATCAGTGCTCTTTGGGGTGATGTTACAGAACTTTTTCCTGTCAAAAACTATAAATGAAATCAAAAGACAAACGATACATTGGGAAAGCAATTACAATAGCACAGTGTAGTCTCTTGCCGGATTTATTTTTCAGGAAGGAAAGTCACGTCTAACACATGGTTTTAGCTGCAAATGGGGGTAAGACTCTTGCAAGGTTCCACATCATTTAGAGAAACTGATAGGAAAACTAGGGGCCTCCTTTCGAAAGTTAGAACTTCTGATTCTAAATGTGTGCCTCAGAGGGTATTGAGACTCAGCTGTATACCCCCATGCCCACTCTGAGTGCTGGCACATGGGCCTGGCACCGGGTCTGGTATGCAGAAAGTGCTAACGAAATGTCCACAGGTAAGTGAGCAAATAGCATTCCTTCCCTCAGCGGGGCAGGGCAGGCTGTCACCATCTGTAGTACTCAGACCTTTTATTAGATGAGCATTGTTTTCTGAGTGTAACAAGTGGGTGCATCAGACCACAGGCTCGGCCTGTCCCTGGGACTCGGGCACATTGGGTGAGGTGGGGTTCATCTGGCCTGGAACCTGCTCTTTGGGCCAGGACTACACTGGTATTAGCATCTGTTAAATGGACCGCTAGCAAGTGCCCCGCCTGTCCTCCTACTTAACCTGGGTCCGACTCTAAGGAACTTAGAGAACTCCTGGGGTCCTTCTCCTCTACTCTTGGAGATAGGATGTCTACGCCCCAATCACCTATGACATTATCCGTGAATTGCCACAAGACAGCAAGCACTGCTAAGTTGTTTTATCACTTCTTTAACATGTGATTTAATTTGACTTTCCTAAAATTCAGTCTCTCTAGATCAGGGTATCTATTTTACAATAATCCTCAGGCAAAAAAAAGAACTAACAGTCACCCACTCCTGCACAGTGCACAGAAATGACACCGAAGACTGGACTGTTGGTCAGAAATAAGGCTGAAGACTTAGGGAATTCCCGAGTGGTCCTTGAGCAGAGGGTTCTTCTCCTGGTTTCCTGGGAAGAACACAGCCTTTGTGTGGTTGAGGACGACATGGAGGCCTTTGCATTTGACCACCTCCTCAGCACTGTCTTTAATTGGTTTGTATTCCTTGTGTTTTCTGAAAATGATATGTTGACAGTTATTAAAGAAAAGGTCTTCCCCAGAAACAAATTACTTTCTACAACCCTTCTCTTGTCAAGTTTAAAGCGTTAATTCCATGTAACCTCGTCTATGGCTCGTAACATGCAGGTAGCTTACAAAAATGTAGGGGCTGGGGATATACCTCAGTGGCACAAGTGTCCGCCTGGCAAGTGCAAGGCCCTGAGTTCGATTCCCAGTGCCCAAAAAAAAAAAAAAAAAAAGTCATTAATTTTTTTCTTCACACAAGAAATGTGCCTGCTCCTTATGATTTAAGCTTATGTGTTAAATATTACGTACACATGATTTTGTAAAGCTACCGGCATCAGGTAGCATGTTTAGGATTTAAAAAAACAAATCCAGCAAAATTAACAGGCTAATTTGGTACTCATGGTTCAACGAAAGATTTTCTTCTCGTACACAAAATGTTTTACAGAAACAAAGAGAGAACGGCACATCTGCACGGAAAGACGGGTATTTACTTTTGACAACATACGATGAGGGCAAACGTGTTACAACCGGAAACTCACCTGTGCACCAAGATGGCGGTCACGATGACCACAATGGCCAGGCAGCCACCGGAGACCAGGGCAGCACTTACCGTTGTGAAAGAGGACGCTGCGTCTGTGAACAGAAACAAGAGCGTGTTAGTTAGGTCTCGCACTCAGAGCGCACACTGCTTGTAATGCCCTTAAATAAATGAGGGAGGCAGCGATCGCAGAGGATGCGCGGCTCCCTCTGGGCTTTCGGTAATTGTTTCCATTAAGTAACACAGACTCTCTGGCTCAGCTTGTCTTCCATTTAGAGAATGAGTTAGCATGTCTGGAACACGGTGTTAGGGATCAGGCAGAGCGAGGTCGCAGCCTGGAGACGCCCGCTCGGGTCTCCGCCGACCCACAGTACCCAGGTGGTGCTGGGCGTCCGTGATCCGCCGGGTAGAACCTGGGCCTCATGTCTCATTTCCTGCCTGCTCACTGCGCTAAAAATCCCGGGAGTCACTGTTATTCCCTGCACTCCAAACCTCCATGTCCTCTGCTGGATGCCCTTCCTCGGGGGCATGGCAGGCCCCCGCTTTCATGATGTCTTCCAGGGATTCCTGGGGTCACTAAGTCATATTCTCCTTTGTTACCACTGTACTTTATCTCTGTGCCTGGATCATCCCATGGTGGTGCCTGCCTGCCTGCCTGCCT